GTCAGGATGATGGGGGGGGGAGTGGGGCTGTGTGCTTCCTGAAGTCCACAATAATCTCTACTGTCTTCTGGGCATTCAGCACCAGGTTGTTGTGGCTGCACCAGGACACCAGACGTTCAACCTCCCTCCTGTAGGCAGACTCATCCCCGTCCGAGATGAGTCCAATAACGGTGGTGTTATCTGCAAACTTGATTAGCTTGACAGACTGGTGGGTGGAGGTGCAGCAGTTGGTGTGCAGGGAGAAGAGCAGAGGCGAAAGAACACAGCCCTGAGGGGAGCCGGTGCTGATGGTCCGGGAGTCCGAGACATTCTTTCCCAGCCTCACATGCTGCTTCCTGTCCGTCAGGAAGTCAGTAATCCTCCGGCAGATGGGATCAGGCACATTCATCTGGGAAAGCTTGCCTTGGAGATGGTCTGGAAGGATGGTGTTGAAGGCAGAGCTGAAGTCCACAAACAGGATCCTGGCATAGGTTCCTGGGGAGTCCAGATGCTGCAGGATGAAGTGTAGAGCCATGTTGATAGCGTCGTCTACAGACCTGTTGGCTCTGTATGCAAACTGCAGGGGGTCCAGGAAGGGGGGCCGTGAGGGTCTTGAGGTAGGAGAGAACCAGGCGCTCAAATGACTTCATGACCACAGATGTCAGAGCCACAGGTCTGTAGTCATTTAGTCCAGTGATCCTAGGTTTCTTGGGGACAGGGATTATGTAGAGGACTTGAAGCAGGCAGGCACATGACATGCCTGCAGTGAGGAGTTGAAAATGCTGCTTCCTCACATCTGCTTCATGAATATGAAGAGTTGTGGTGGGAGGAGGTGGTGTGAAATCCTCCTTGGTGTGGGGTGTGGAGGGAGGTGTTGTAGGTGAAGTGTTTGATGGTGGTGATGGCTCTATGGAGGGGGGAGAGGTGGGGGAATGAGTGTCCAAAGTGTCTGTATTGTTGGGGCCGTTGGAGGCTTGTCAAAACGGCAGTAAAAGTCGTTAAGCGTGTTGGCCAAGAGCAAGTCATCAGTGGAGTGGGGGGTTTTAGGCTTGTAGTTGGTGATATTCCTAAAACTTTTCCACACAGAGGCAGAGTCATTCTCTGAGATCTGCTGCTGCATCTTCTCAGAGTGCTGATGTTTAGCAATGTCCACTTCTTTAGTGAACCTGTACTTGGCCTCTCTGTAGCAGTCCCTGTCTCCGCTTCTGAACGCCTTTCTCTTTTCCAGCCACAGCTTTTTGAGTTTAGGAGTAAACCAGAGTTTGTCATTGTTATAACTCACCCTGGTGCGTGATGGCACAACGCTGTCCTCACAGAAGTGGATATAGGAGGTGACAGTGTCCGTAAACTCGTCCAAGCTGTTAGAAGCAACCTGCGAACACGTGCGAAGCTCCTCCACAGCCTCGTTGCTCCACAGTTTTTTAGTCCTCACGACAGGTTTGGAGAGCTTCAGCCTCTGTCTGTACACGGGGATCAGGTGGATCATGACGTGGTCAGAAAGTCCGAGTGAAGCGCGGGGCACCGCACGATAGGCCCCGCTGATCGTGCTGTAACAGTGGTCTAATGTCCTCTCCTCTCTGGTCGGGCATTTAATATACTGCTTGTATTTGGGAAGCTTTTGGCTCAGATTGGCTTTGTTAAAGTCCCCAAGAGCAATAATGAGAGAGTCCGGGAATGTCCGCTCCATGTGCAGTGTCTGCTCTGCGAGTGCGCACTGAGCTGCCTGCTCATCCGCATCTCCGTAACAGATGCACATCCGTAAACAGCGGCCAAGATGAATGAATCAAACTCCCGCGGAGAATAAAACAGTTTGCAGTGAATAAAAAGGTATTCCAGAGAGGAAGAGCAGTGCCGAGCAATCACTGTTACATCTGTGCACCAGCCACTATTAATGTAGAAGCAGACACCTCCACCTGTGGTCTTACCAGAGAGAGAGGCCTGCCGGTCCGCGCGCAGCAGATGAATTAGATGAGATTAGATTAGATGAGTTAGCACATGATTCTCCTTATGGGGACCTGATATGTTTAATATGCTGCAGAGAATATACCACAGAAGAAGCGTATAGTATAGCTTTTATTTTGGAAAGAGCCATTTCTCTGTTATAAACTTAATTTTTTTATTCTTTTGTTGTTTCAGCAACATTAAATTTAAAAACTACTTTTGAGTTAAAATATATATTTATAATTTTAATAAATGACAAATTTAAAAGGCATGAACATTTTTTTGTATGGAAAAAATATCGAACCGCGACACCAAAGTATCGAACCAAACCGTGAATTTTGTGTATCATTGCACCCCTAATGTATATGTATATGTATGTATACATATGTATATATATGCATATGTGTGTGTGTGTGTGTGTGTATACGTATGTGTGTGTGTGTGTGTGTGTATGTATATCATCATATATATCATAAATGAAGGATAAGCCAGATGTATCTTTTTGTATTTGTCCAACAGAAGGGGAAGGTGAAGGAGGCTGCACAGCGTTATCAGTACGCTCTCAAAAAGTTTCCACGCGAAGGCTTCAGCGAGGACCTTAAGACATTCAGGGAACTCAAAGTATCGCTCTTCCTCAACCTGTCCCGATGTCGAAGGAAAATGAACGTAAGTCAGCAGAAAAGCAGCAACCGTGAAAAACACTAAATTGTTAAAACTGAAGGATGTTACTAAATCCTTTGATGGTTAATGATACTATTGGCCACATGTCAGTTTCTCTCACTGTTCTGTAGTGTTCATTATTCTTCTCCTGTGCTTAATCTCTCCAGGACTTTGGGATGGCTGAGGAATTTGCTACTAAAGCGCTCGAACTGAAACCAAAATCTTATGAGGCGTACTACGCCAGGGCACGCGCCAAGCGTAGCAGCAGGTACACTCATTTTATCCTTGTACAGATCAGAAGAATGCTTTCCTTTTTCCCTACCCCTTTCTCCGTGGTCTTCCTTTTTAAAGGATCTCTATATTCTTCCCCCGGATTTTACAGTTTTGCGTAATTTACTTTACTTTGTTTATTTATTTATCTTCTATTATTTTAGACAATTTCCTGAAGCCTTAGAGGACCTGAATGAAGCCATAAAGCAGTGCCCCAATAACAGAGAAATCCAGCGGCTGCTCCAGAGGGTGGAAGAGGAATTCCACCAACTTAACCAGGAGGAGCACCAGCAGCAGGACCTGGAGCTGGAGCCTCCTCCCTCACCCCCTCCTACACCTCCCCCAGAAGAGGAAGAGTCCCTGTCTCTGTCCATGCCTCTCCCCCCTCCACCAGAGCCCCGTCTGGAAGACATGGAGCCCGTACAGGACTTGTTTGAGGATGAGGACTACCTGGAGCAGGAGCTGGAAGCCATGTCGATGGGTCTGCCCCCACCCGAGTCCCTCTCAAATCCCTCCAGCCTTCCTATAATTCAGAGTCCACCCCTCTCCCCCACACATCCAGATCAAATTTACTTGGCTGGAGGCTCACCCATGGGCCAGCCCTATGAATACCACCCCACCTCTTCCTCCATGTCCTCCCCAACTCGGGGCTCCTACCAGCCCACGTCACCCTCCCTCTCTCCAACACATCAGAACTCCCATTACAGACACAGTCCCCCTCACACCTCCCCAGTACACCAGCCATCCTACCGCTTCAGCCCACCTCCTATGGGTACCGGGGGTCAGGGGATGGATCACCAGAGCCCACCACCTTCCCCTTTACGTCGGGCTGCTCAGTATAGAGCCAGTCCACCGTTAGAAAGTGTTTGTCTGTACAGGTCTCAGTCTGGGTCACCTGTGCGCTATCAGACAGAGCAGCTTCCTGGAAGACCCAAATCTCCCCTCTCCAAGATGAGCAGCCAACGTTCTTTCCAGCTGAGTTCGCAGCCCTCTTTATCCTCGCAACACCACCAAGCCCAAGGCCTCCGTCTGCAGCCTTCCATAGCCCAAATAGTCCGCACAAACCAGCCCAGCAACGTAATGGGAAATAGTAGTTATGGTGGCCAGATGGGCCACTCCATGGGTGGTCGCTATCAAGGGGGTTCAGTGGACGTAGAGAGCCGCTTGGTGTACCAACCCTCACTGGATGGACGGTCAATGTCCCAAGTCCAGGCCAGCCTCAGTTCTGGGGCCCTCTGTCAGCACGGCGGCCGAGGAGGGGTTATGGAGTCGAGCCTGTTGAAGGATGAGCTACCCCAGCGCCCCTCCTCTGCCTACCGCGCCAGCAGTGGGGGCCCGGGGGGCATCCGTTACAGCCAGACACCTCAGATAAGCCGCAGCCAGTCAGCCGCCTACTACCCAGTCTCTGAACACGTTCTTGAGCGTGCCAATGCTATGCCCCCCTGCCAGCTGGGCTCTCCCGAGATCCCCCATATGGTTAGACGCCCTGTGAGTGCCAATACTACTGAAATGAAGCAGCATGTGCCCACCCCTAGGCCTCTCATCCATTCTCAGAGTGTAGGCCTTCGATTCTCACCTTCCAGCAACAACATCTCAACTGGATCCACCTCGAATTTAGCCCCGGGTTTCAGGCCTTCCTCTTCCATTCAGCAGATGGAGATTCCCTTACAAGCCACATACGAGCGCACCTGTGATGACATCTCTCCCATCTCCCCCTCCCAGGGTGGTGGGGGGTTGTATCAGGGAGAGACCACTCGCTCCCGCAATACGCCTTTTATGGGGATCATAGACAAGACGGCTCGGACTCAGCAGTACCTGCATCAGCCCTCACGGTCCAGGGCAATGACATCTATGGACTCTGCCATCAGCCCCACCTCCCCCGGTCAGCTGGTCCAGCAAGGTTCCACCTACAGTCCCCCCGCCTCACTGGGTAATATCGCCTACTACAACAAGACCAACAACGCCCAAAACGGACACCTGTTAGAAGAGGATTACTACTCCCAGACTCAGCCCCCCTCTCTGGGAAAGCTGGCCAATGGCTCCCGTGGCAGTGGGGAGATCCTGGAACGGGTCAGCCAGGTGCCCACCTACCCAGACGTGAAGGTGGCGAGGACTCTGCCCGTGGCACAGGCCTACCAGGACAACATGTACCGACAGCTCTCGCGTGACTCCCGGACCCAAGGCCCCACCTCCCCCATCAAACCAAAGAGACCATTTGTGGAGTCGAATGTGTGATGGCCTGTCTGTGATTGGATGGTTGGACTGGGCTTGTTAGTGGAACTGAGAGAGTAAAAAATATTTAGCTCGACAGAAGATGTGACGGGTTGTGTGTGTGTCATGGACGAACTCATCTCAACGAACTCACTAGAGAAAGAAAACCACAAAGCCAACAAACACACTTTAGGGTATTAGACATTATCTTATATGAAAAACATAACGGTGAGAAGTGATTCTTTCAATATCATAATCTGCAAACAGGTAGGATAACAGGAGGATCGCAAGTTCTAATCTAAATCAGAGACACGTGGCACATTGTCCCCACGTGTGACCACATCAGGTGGGACTCCAAGAGTGAAAGTACTACCCATCGGACTCTACTTGTGGACTCTGTATCCATCTTCTGTTCTTTCAAAGTGTGCTCTTAACCAAGGTTGCTAGTAGGCTCTATTCTATGTAATACAATATTATATGTTCAATACTGTACATTGCTCAGAAAATACAAATGGCTCAACAACTCAGTACTTAGAGAAAAATGACAATATTTATAATTAAGTTATATATTGTACATAAAAAGAAAACAAAACATAGTTTGCATTTTGAATTTTATTCTGTTAACCCTGCCTCTGTGTCACACCGCAAGTCATACGGATGTGGAAAACCGACCGGTGGACAAGGGACACAGTCAAACTTTGACTGATGAAGTTACCTCTGTTGTGTCAAAATAAAAAGAATTTTGCTATAATATAATGCAAGCGAATGTGTCAACATGCAGATTATTTTTTGATAGATTAGTTAGAAAATGATAAAGTTATCATTCCCACTTCCCCAGCAACATCTTACCAACACATTTTGCTCTATCAGCAAACCAAAAGAGTTTAAGGAGAAAGCAGAAGAGCAACAAATCTTCCCCCTCTTTTAAATGATATCAGTCGATAATCACAGTAATTAAATATGTATTGTCTGTCAGGCAATAATAGCAAATTATTTTGGCTGCAACTCGTCTTTCACTCAGTTGGGTGCTTTTATCAAATGGCAGAAAAATAAAAATCAAAGTTTGCCTCTGTCCCGCCTCCGTGTGAGCGATGGTGGAAAGTACTCAGCGACTAAAAGCAAGCAAATGCATACACAACCACTGTTACCAACCTTTCCCTTTCTTCTGCATTGTTTTTATGATTTCTTTTAAATCATAATGCATTTTTATTCAGCCACTTCTGCACTAAAATGCCTGACAAGGTCTTAACTAAGGGTGCACTTTATGTATTTTACTTACTTTGTTGTTACGATTGTTACATTAGGAGTAAGTGAAAGTGGGCGTGGGATCCGTCAGATCGCCGATCAGTGCTAACCAGACTACGACAGACACTTATGTGAATTGCAATGCAGTGGTGAGTGACAATGTTCAGAATCTGGGATGATATATAGACTTTCTAGCACAAGAGGTATGTATTGGCTCAGATATTTCACTCTGTCCAGTTCAGGTTTGTTAAGATAGTTTGTCTGTTTAGAGAGGCAAATCATATTTAAGTAACTCCACCTCATAAAAATATATTCCTCGAACTCTAAATCACTGGTTTTGACACCATGTCCACTGGCACACGTCTTCTAAATAAATCGAACCTACTGCAACAACAAAAGACTGAGATTTCAGTATCCAGGAGCTCTGTAATTTGGAGTTTGAGTCATAGAGATGATGAATAATGAAAATATTGAAGTAATTTATATATGTGGGAATGATTATAGACTATTTGTCTGTAACATTTTATTTTGGATGTCTGATAAAGAATAAATGGAGACAGTTGTCCTCAGTTTTACCTGCTACTGGAGAGAAGCCCTACTTAACTTTACAGAAATGAAGGTATAAACTGTATTATACTTAATTTAAACAGGACTTTTTAAGTTGAGGTTATTTGAGGGTGTATGGTTTCAAGCTATCTGTGTATATTAGTTCGCTGTAAATAGTCTGATGCATGTTCTATTCTTTCCATGACCTCAAGCAGAAACATGTATAGCAGTGTCTCTGGTGTGTGTGTGGTACAACGTTTGGATTAAGATGAGGAGACTGCTATCCCCCGAACTTATCCTTGTCATTTTCCCTCAACCACGCCAGACAAAAAAGTTCTTTTTATTTTATTTTAACATATTTGCTTGCTGAGCAGAGTTCTCTTGTCTGTAAATGTGAGCTTTCAGATCGCTGTGAAGTTTAATTAAAAACAATAAAAAAGAATGTGTTTTTATCTCATGATAACTGATTGTAATCTGTACAGTCGAACATATGTATTGGAAAAAAAGGAGAACATATTTATAAATGGTTACCAACTGAAACACGCCCTGCATGTCGATCATTTATTTTTTACTGATTAGGGAATAACAGGAATGTAGCTTTCAAGTTTTTCGGTCACAAAGCAATAACACAAAACTGAGCATCAGACATCTGCGCAATGTTCAAATTCTTTGCCTTTCAGTAGTCGCAAATCTGACGTTTTAAACCTCGGTAACAATCTTTGACTCGTAAAGATTCAAACAACACAAAATGCACATAAACAAAGTTGCACTTTTCCCAATAAAGTCGATATTTAGCAAAAATACTGTAGTATTTACAACACTTATGATTGCACTAGATTCACTAGAGACATTACGCCACAATGTCTCAATACCGGCACTTTTAAAATCATCAAATAAAAGGAAAAACACAGGTCACAGACTGGATAAAAGGCCATTGTTTAGTGAATACCCATCAAAATGGTTCTGAAACACAGCGAACATTAAACATTAAATGTGTTTATACAAACTCTGAAGGAAACTCCAGTTTTGGGAGGTGTTTAAGGTGCACATCATGTGTGGAGGAACTCTTCTAGTCTTTCTTTTTTTTGAATGTTAATAGGTGTACCACCCCAGGCACAAGTACCATAACGATCAGAGGCACTAGGACAAATTTGACAAAGAACAGGCTGTAGAAAAGGCTCTGTGGTTGGACCGGGAGCGGTAGACGATTCACGTGGTAAAGACCCATGGATGATACAGCCATAGACAAAGCTCTGGGAGCCCAAGGTAGAGACCATCCACCAGGCTTCCAGTACTGTGCCAGCCCCAAACCCAACAGGGCCCCACAGTCTCGGGTGAGAGAGGAGAATGGGGCTGTGTCCAAACGAATCCATTCTGCATGGCTGCACCATTTCTTGGCCAAAGCAATAGACCTGTTGAATCAAAAACATGACCGGTCATGGAAGTAAGTCCCTTTATATTATCACAATATATACTGATCAGACTCACTGATTAAACATTAATGTAATAGAGTAACTCACCAGGAGAGGTCAATTCCCAGCTGCTTTAATCCAGCATGGAGCATCAGAGCTCCGAACAGCAGCCCGAAGCTTAAACTAAAGAAGAACAGCAGGGGGCGACCTTCTGGTACTCTGCAGCTCAGGACAATCCCCAGAATGAAACCTGACAAGAGCATTTCATCAGATTAAGCTGCACACATGGGAAAACTACCCTATGGGTCTGACAAATCCAATTATGAAATTCTTTTTTGGGAACTACAAAAATCCTGTAGAATTACACGGATAGTTGATAGCAAGCAGCTCAAAAACCAGCACAAGTGATGATGGAGTGCACTAGTTCTACATCTGTGTTAGAAATATTAACACTGAATAATGTTTTGGAGCAACCAATGCTTTGATCCAGAGGACACCTGTTTTAGGAGGGGCATCAATCATTTCAGCAAATCACATTCTGCAGCACAGCTGCATATTTACACAATCTAGGTCTTAAACATGCTTGCCTGTAATCCATTAGAGTCAGTCAGTGAAAATATTTTGAATTTTGAATTTAAACCTGTATGATTTGCAGCTGTGATCATATATCAAACAAAAATGGCTTTTACACTTTGGAGATCACTGCATTTGGCTTTTATTATACTTTTTATAAAGTGCCCCACCTTTTTCAGAAATATGATTTTTGCATAATATGTATTCAGACCTGTAATGGAGCCAGCAACGACCTGATGCGGAAAGTGTGCGAGGATAAAGATCCTGGAGATTCCAACTGCAACAAGCATCACCACATAGAGGACGTAGGGAGCAGCTGATAAGAGAACACTCCGGATTCAGAAAAGGAGAGATCTGTTTAAAAGTAGTTCCAATGTGCAGCAGTTTTGTGCATTTTTAGAGCCAAAGCAGCATACTGCACTGGATTTAGCTTAAACAGGGACGTACCTGTGAGAACGGGAGTACAGAAAGGACCCCAGCGAGGACACAATGACCCACCAGACTGCTGCTGTCACCATCGCATGTCCAGACGGACTGCCTGAGAAACAGATGCCAACTTTGGACTTGGAGATCTGAATGTTTAATGATTTAAGGACATTGGCTATGACTCAAACACAGTCTATTTTTCTAAGACAACTTCTAACCTGGGCCTGTTTCACAGGTGGACGGAAACTGGTGAATTTTCGGTTGCTTATTGACAAAAAGACGCGATTCACCGATCCACCAGAATGGCCTCTCTCCAAACAGCAACCTGAATAAAAATAAATATAATATATAAATACATTTACACACACCCCAAATAACACAAATACATTCACTATATTTTACTACATTTAATATGTTTTTTTTACTTGTTGAATCTAAGACATTTTTTTCTCCAAAAGCCTCTACATATAATTCAAAGTTCCTTACTGTATTATATTTGGCTCCATCAACACTCGCAGAAAATAATTAGTGTAATCAGAAATATCTAAATCAAAATAATACATGGCTTTTAAAAAATCTATATTATGTCCATAGTAGTTTAGCTGTATTGTTTCTCTACTTGGTACATTTGTAATGTCTTTTGTATTTTTCCTTTATAATTGTTGAGGATTTGGGGCTTCATTTTTTTCTATGCATGTTCCTCTGTCTTTTGCATGTTTTCCTTAAATTTATCTTGTTTTATTTCAAGTTGTTAATGGTATAATGTAAATTTATTATAATGAAAAAAATGTATTTTGTATGCAGGTTTGCACCAAAGTATATTTCAGATCTTGAGGTCCTCAGCTAAGGCTGCTCTGGCCACCCCATAATCTCAGCTGGAAACCAAATGTGTTCAGGCTTTTTCTGTCAGGACACCCTTTCTCTGGTACAATCTGCCTGAGGAGATTGTCAACGTGGTTACCACTTTGTTGCCTCTCATATTTGCTTTATTTTATATTCCTATTTGCTTCTTTTAGTAATCATTTTTTAATTTATTTATTTTCGGTCTTTAATTCTCCCGTTTATCTTTGCGTTCTCAGTATTCATATACCTTGTGTTGTTTAATTTTTATTTCTTATTAAACGTTTTATTTGCCGTTTCCTATCTCGCCTTGTGAAGCATTTTATAACTTTGTTATTATCCATCCATATCGTTGCTTTCCTAAAATTTAATCCGTTGACAATTTTGGTCACATTTATGTTATATGGTCACTTCTTGTTTTTAATTTCCGTTTCTTTTCTTGTAACACTCCAGGCTGTTTGTGGGGAAAATTCCATTGAACTGGTCCCAAAGGTTCCGCTCATTTCTGTTTCACGTCGGACTAATACAGGGTTGTACTACTTTGCTGTACCGGAAGCAAAGACTAAACTAAAATTATTTTTATTTGTTTAAACTGGAAAAAAATAAACATGTGCAGGCGGTCTTGAATATATAATTAACAATTTTAATGTAAAAAAAGTTATGAATGTAATGTAGCAACATGCTAGCATGAGACATACAACCGTAAGTGTAAAAACTAAGTTGGACGGGAATATTCAAATCGTGCTTCATTAAAACGCCTTACCATTTGAACACTAAGTTCAACCACTCCGATATAGCTGCCATCCAAAGCACCGCTACCCCAGCTCTCCTGTTGATGAAATAAGTAAAAGGAAAGACGAGCAAAAAGGCTGCTTTAGGGTCTCCCATATGAGTGACCGTTAGCCAGAATTTCTCCTGAGTCTTCGTCCTCTGCTGGAGACCTTCGGCCATCCAGACGCCTTGGGCATAAATCTCCTCCATTCCTTTCCGCCTTCTCCCAGTACAAACACTTTGATATGTAGATGGCAATCTAAAGACAGCCCTTTATTTGATGTGTTACAATGAATTCCACAGTACTGCTCTACATCCGGTAGGGGCGGGACACATCGGAAGGCGGTTCAATGGGAAACAAAGCGACATCCTTCGTCGAAGAGAGAAGTTGTATTCGTAGTAGTTCTGCAGTTGAAGACCTTAGTTAGTGATTCAATGACACAACTTTACTTAAACTAGATCTGATTTGGCAGGAATTATAATTCATCACATTAGAAGGAACGATCGACGTACTTTTGTTACGCTCAGGTTTCGTCTCCATACGACATCGCGTCGCTTTACGTAAAGCAGGCGCTCCGGTTTCCTGGCGGAGAAGATGGCGGCTCCTGGACCCGGGGAGTATTTTAGCGTCGGGAGCCATGTCGCATGCGTCACATGCTTGGGCCAACGTCTGCAAGGAGAAGTTGTCGCGTTTGACTACCAGTCCAAGATGTTAACTCTGAGTATCCTTTTGTTTGTTTCGAGCTGCGGATGGAGGGGTTGCTGGCCTGCCTGGCTGCAAGGGCCTGTAGGGTAACCGAAATGTGGCAAATAGTGATCCGCGCAGGCGTAATTGGTGCTAGCAGAAGCACACACGTTTGCCCGTTTTATATATTTTCTTGTTTCAGATAGCACCTCATCTATCTTCTGTCTGTATAAGCCTTTAGTTGGGGTTGCCTGGTAATTTCTTGGCCTCTCGTTAGCCGCTCTAGCGGCGCATGTGTTTTGAATCCACTCATTGTATTGCCAGCCCTCAACATGGATCACTATCTGGCAACGAATCCTCGTAAGGCATCATGGCTGTGTGCTCTCAGCAGGCACAACCGTTGCTAGTTAGCGAGCTAACTGATACTGGGAGAGTCTCGCGTGTTGATGGTCCACATATTGACCTCACATGGTTGGTGGTGCCATCAGCCGGAGATGCTCACGATTATTTGTACAAGTTAGAGATTAAGTGGTTTCCGAGTCCACGCTATACAATCAAGGTGCTTTTAGCATGTTAGCATGCTAGATTTCGGTCAACCCCACACTGCAGCTACTGGCTAGCTCAATTAACGGGTTTGGCGTTCTCAAGCTTATCAGCTGGGCTGTAAATATTGTGTGATTGTGCCACAGTTCATTTTAACATGAGTCATTTGGGTGTGAGTAATAACTTACTTACTAACACTAGTTTGCTGGCGAACATGTCTACACCCATCAGTGTGAGTGAATGAGTGAGTGAGCGAATGTGCATCTTATCATGTTCCTTTATCTCTGATCACCGAGTTAATTGCACAGACTCGAGAGGTTATCGTGTAGTTATCATCATTGTGGCCAAACTTTGAGGTGATTAAATCAAATGAAGAGTGGGGAGCGCTTAGAGCTGATAGTCAAGGTCTTTCTAAGTGTTAGTTTAACACTAAAAACACTTTGTGACGTTATCTGAGCTGTAGAAACGCCTCGACACCTACTTTCAGCTCTACAATGCGTGATAATGACTAGTTATAAACGTGTAAGTGTGCTCAATAGCCATACAAGTATTGTATGTATTTCTGCTTTACCCTTTGAACGACCCCCAAAACGTGACTAATCGAGGTAATATGTTCACATGCTAAGTTTGAATGCAAGGCCTGTGTAAAATCAGATGACTTTTCTTATGTATTTATCGACTTTCAGACAGTCGTTTCCAATGTATTTATTGCAAGAATTCGGTTTATTCATCAACAGAAGTTATAACTTAAGTTGTTTTTTTAATAATTTGTTTTTTTATGGATCAGTTTGCCAAAAAACATATACCGCTCAGTTAGATCTAATGAACATAAATGGTGTGCCTTGGGATTTGGTGAGATCCATCTATTATTTAGCAGCTGCACTAGAACTTAATGAGTTGAATTCATATTTGCTAAATTAGCAGACTTCTAAGGTCCCGAAAGATGGTGAGGAAAACAGGACAGTGGATCACTGTATTTTGTGAACCAGAGAGTGGGCAATCCCCTGCCTATACAAAAGAGACCATCTATGAATAACAGTAGTATCTTTAAAGACAAGTTGACTAATCTTAACATTATTCCAAGACGGGATACTTAAACCCACACTCGATTTGAATTAGAGGCAGACAGTTTGTTGGAATATCTGTAGAGGGAAACTATATGGCAGTGGAACTTACTGCAAAGTGCAAAAGGGCCATTTTGCTACAGGCGTGCTATCATAAGTGTATAGTCAAAAGAAGAATTGATTGCATGCAGGATATTCTATGCAGATGTGAATTCATGTGTGCCATGAAATGTTGGTTTGCTCTTAGGTGCACAAAACATTTGTAAACTGCTGCTGTGATATAGAACCCAGAGCAAAACAAAAATCAGACTAGTTCTTATGTTACGCTTGAGTTCCAAAGTCAGCAGATTATCATTGTTTAAGTAAAATTTCCTGAGAGTTGTTATAACTAGTTACTGTACAGTGAGAGGAAACTTTACGCGTTATGACTTAAATAAATAACAAACAGGCAGTGTTAAAGCCCAAACAATGTGTGTATTTCCGGTCAGTCATAGAGCGAGCCAGTCCTGTATTAAGTAGTAATAATAATAACACTTTAGTAATGTAGCGCTTTTCGAGACTTGGTTACAATAAGCTTCACAATCAGTAATCAGCAAGAGAAGGTAAAATGGTAACAGCAGCAAGTAAACACTGAAAAACTTGGATAAACTTGATATGACGGGTAATAAATAAATCAATGCAGTAATAATAAATTAAAGTGGAGTGGTGATTAAAGCAATTTCACTCGCTAAAAGCTGTTATGGTAAGTTGTAGATACTGGGTTTGCTGACCTCGTTATGGCTGCTTCGTGACTGTGGATCAGTACATGTTTTTTTTGCAGTTTTTCCTCTCATAACACATTTTAGCCGTCCCCATTCATTCATTCTTTCATTCATTCATAGATGCTACAGGTGGCAGCAATGCTTTCTGTAGTCCCATGCTGTAACTGGCACTACCTTTCACTGTCAGTGTTTGTCAGCCAGTGTTCTCTGAATAATGAGCTTCTCTGTGCAGAAAACCAATGTCCCAAGTTCTTCAAGGGGACAGATAATAGTCATTTTTGTTCTGTCATTCACTGTCACAAAGTTGTTTGCCTTGACCTAAGTGCCTTCATAGAATGTGCTTCCTCCAGTGGTAAGCCAAACCTCAACGACGTCATCCTGATCAACTTAGCCTATGTTTCTGATGTGGACATTATAAATGACCGCACTGAGACTCCACCCCCTCTAGCATCACTGAATGTTAGCAAGGTAAGTCCAATAATTTATTTTATTTTTATACCATTTATTAGTTTTTATGCCTCGGTTTACATCAAGTGTGGTGGGTGTCAGGCGCTGTTGGTGAATGGGCCAGGATATCTCCTAACTTTACAATGAGGATGGCCTGAATGCTCCAAAAATACTTGGCCCTCAGTGAAATGCTGTATTCTTTTGGCCAAAATGCATTTGCCGTTTCGGCAGCGTTTTGAAGAGGCTGTGAAATGGGGCTGGCATCGTCAGTAGGTCTAGAAATAGACTTCTGAGGATTGAGACCCTGATTTGGAAAATTGGAACGCAGCAGAAATAAAAGTCAGTGTTTATAGATTCCCCCCCCACTTGAATAAAGTAAGCCCAAACTGAGCCCTGTGAATAAATGGAGACATGTCGAGGGTGTTTAAATGCTGAGATATAAACACTGCCTCTGTAATCCTATGCGGGAAAGTGAAATGTACTTTTATACAAACCAAGTTCACTGCTGTACCTAAAATCACAATTGGAACCTGGAAGTTAAAAGAATAAGCTGTTCTTGTTTCAGACCAAATATTTGATGTGCCTAAAGAAAAAAAATTAAATAAAAGAAATGCTGTGTGTTCTTTTTTAATCTTTACAGCTTGCCAATCGAGCACGGACAGAAAAAGAGGACAAGCTGTCCCAAGCCTATGCAATCAGTGCTGGGGTTTCTGTGGAGGGCCAACAGCTATTCCAGACTATTCACAAAACGTAAGAACTTTATGCTACTGTTCATTCACTTCACAGGTCAGATGGGGGTAAATGTTCACCTGATCGGGTCAAATTTCTCACTGCATACTATATGTATCATTGACCACTAATTTGTGAGTATTTTATGCCACTAGTGGCTTAAATCGCTTAAAGATCTTCATGATTCAATCAAAATCAACCTTTTTAATGTCATGTCAAAATGGGAAGTAAAATATTCAAAAGAAAACCCAACAGTTCAGCAGAATCATGCTGCTTATTTAGAAAACAGAAAGCAATGACATCATTTTTTTCCTTTTAAAAAAGCTGACTTTGAAAGTTTGAAATGTGAACTAATATAATTTTGTCTGTAGCCATGTTAAAAATGAAAAATTCACAGTGTACACATCTGTACATTGCGCAGATGTGTACACAACAGTGAAAACAAACCAGTCAACTTGCTGTTTGAAGCATTAGATTGAATTTTAAATACATAGATATTTATTTCCCATTGCCAAAACTTTCAGGGATTTTCTTGAGATAGTTTAATAACCTCACAGTTGCATCAGAGCAAAGCTCTTGCCAGCATTCAGATACAGTTATGACCATATTTATTTGGACAGAGTGGACAATGGCAACTTTAATTTTTGCTTCAAGTTACATTTATATTACTGGTGTATAACTCTTGGCTTTCCCAAAAAGTTGATCCTGTTCATCTGGACTCGTTTTTAGTGGGAGAAACATTTCACCACTCATCCAGGTGACTTCTTCAGTGTCAGCTGACTGCAGGTCTCCCCAACCTTATAAACAGTATATTTGCACAGTGACTGAAATACTAATGATCAAGGAACTGACCTCACAGCCCATTGTTCCTTCAGTGGGCTAGTTTCAGTCATTCAGTTTCAGTCTGATCAGTTTTTTATAAATTAAGCAGGTAAAAAGTCTGGTGATCATCGTGGCTTTAGAGTTTGGAAGCTGTTTCAGTGAATCTACGACATGTGATCAAAGGAGCTGTCAATGCAGGCCAGAAAGACATGTCTGAGAGATCATAGACTCTAGATTACAGTGCAGCAATGACTAGTTCTCTGTGGGCTCTTCACTTGTCTGAGTCCATAACGGTGTTTAATGCCCTGCTTTAGGCTGCAGAGTCAAATCTTGATCTTTGTAAGTGTAATGGGGACAGATGGATGCTTTGCTGGGCTTGGCAATTTAAAAAAAGAAAAAGCCTGGAACAGTGGTAGATGATCACAGGATCCTTTCTATAGTCAATAAGAAACACCCCCATCATATGTCCATCATAAAGAGAATACTCTGTGACAAGCTGCAAAATGGCGATCGTTGATCAGTCACAAGGTCAGGTTAGTGGGAAGAAGGAACAAAAAAGGGGGGAAAAGCCAGACCTGTTTAGGAACAGCATTCTTTGGACAGTCAAATGCAGCTAGGTTGACTGGAAAGAGCTTTACAATGCAAATTGAAACTGAGAATGCACTACAAAAACAAAGCGAAGGTTGTTGGAAAGCCAGAGATGTTGAATTTC